CAAGTTACGGAAGGACAACATCACATATTTTGATGTCGTTTATAGCAAGTGGCATGACCAAATTTACATTATTTTCTTTGAAGATTCGGTGAGACGTGAGTCGGTGGTAGCCCCCGGGCCCGTGACCCGGTAATGAGGTCTCGGCTCCCTGTAGGGAATCGTAAGCGGCGTGGTGCTAGTGAAACGCTCCAAGCGATGTATGATAGCTTAAAATCAATCTAAAACAAACATCACTTTGTCCAAAACCAGATATCTTCAAAAAATATTCAAAACTTCAGCTGTGAGCCAGCCTTCGTACATTCCTCACTTTCAAAACAACATATCATACCCAACACAAATTATGTGCATTTTCGTCTCCACGATATTAAAGGCGACTTTCATACAATTTTCATTTAGCCCATTTTGCTCGTTTTCAAGTTTTGTTCAAACTATTATTAATCTCCGACTTTACCTTTCATGACGATGATTTTTTTTTAAAGCACCATAGAGGCATCGTGTATGAAGAGGTTGGAGAGAAAAAAAATGTACTTCTGTGTAACAAGACTTGTATTAATTTCAGAAACGGGTTAAGAGGGGCAGGGAGGGGGTGGGGGTAGTGGGCGGAGGCCAAATGCATCCAGTGTAAATCCGATTATCTATTTTGTCTGTGTACTCATTCACAAGCTAGCGTATTATGCCGTTTGTTTGGCAAATGTCTTTATTCGCTCATTTCCTTTCTATTTTTAATCCTTTGTTACTATTATATAATTCTTTGATAGGTTCATTCGTTGGTATCACAGTTCTGTTTCCGGTATTTTCCTCTCTTCTTCTTTTGATTTCATGCATGCTCTCTTTCAGGTAATTATTTCTTCAAAACAAACACTTCAGTTTATTCAGAAAGGGAGACTACATAGGAAAGAGAAAGGGACATCATTATACGAGAAATAAATAGAGAGGGGAAAAACAAAATGATAGACAGATTGAAAAGCGGGAAGGAGAGTAAATGGTGAGAGGAGAGGGGTACAGATATATATATATATATATATATATATAGAGAGAGAGAGAGAGAGAGAGAGAGAGAGAGAGAGAGAGAGAGAGAGAGAACAACAAATTTACAGAATGGGAGACAAGAGCATCCGTCATACACGAGAGAAAGAGAGAGAGAGAGATAGAGAGAGAGAGAGAGAGAGAGGGGGGGGGGGGAGATAGAAAGAGAGACACAGAGAGAAGGGGCCGCGGCGGGGAGTATGTGGGGGGGGGGGGGTGATTTTTTAACAGAGAGAGAGAGAGAGAGAGAGAGAGAGGCAGAAATGGGATTACGAAGAAAGAACAAATAATAATTAATGAATGAATTAACGAATGAAGAAAAAAAAAGAAAGAAAGAAAGAAAAGGAGGGAAACCAATGGAGAGAGGGAAAGGGAGTGCAATTTTGAAAATAGATGGGACAAATACTTTAAAAAGTAGATCTGGTGAGGGTAAACGGAAGGGAGAGGGGGAACAGAGAAAAGGAAAGAAACAGATAAAGAGGGAGCGAGAGAGGGCGAATATATATTTAGGCCTATATATATATAAGAGAGAGGGGGAGAGAGAGAGAGAGTGAGAGAGAGCGAGAATGATAGTACTAGACTACTAGTTCACTACATGTAGTATCTTCGTCTGGGGATCTGCACCCTTGTCTATGACATTTTCTTCACGTGATGGTTTCAACGGGGTGCGGTCTTTTAATCGCTAATTCAACTCGACATGATTCTTACGCTAAAATCTTAATTAGGAAACACAGGTAATTAATGAAGCTCAGAATATATCGTCCCTAATCCAGGTTTTCGAAGGAAATTCCGGTTTAGAGATAACCATCGGTTGTCAGAAGAGTCTGAAGAAATTTCGTCCAGGTATTTATACATACGTACTGAGAAAGGTTAGGAGTCTAGCTCTTAGGAAGTGTAATGCTACATAGGCCTACTATAGGTACCACAGCGTCTATGTAGAAATAGAAATGAAATTGAAATGACCTTGTTTTAAAAGGACAAATCAGATAACAATTATTTCGCCCCGAAACAAAATTGACGGTATTAATTTCCCAAAAATGTCAACTGACATTCGACTAGATTATTTATAAATAAATTGATACTTGTTATCGTTATAAAGGACCGAGCTGTCTATTTCAATTTAAACAGAACAGATAGTCAAATCCAACTTAAAAAACTTGAAATGTAATATTTCAAACTAGTATGTACTAATAGCGTTCATTTTTAATTCAGTCGATTATGAAGAAATAAACATTTTTTTACAATTAAAAAAGAATAAATTTGGTAATGTGGTCCCTCATAGGATCGGGGAGGGGGAGGGGTGAGCTTCTTTGAAATTTTTGGACTAAAAAGTTATCGAAAATCCGGAAGATCTTTTTTTTGTGTACTTCTTTTTTTCTGGGAGAGGGAGGGGGAGGGGGGAGGTGGAGGGGGTAGGGGGAAGATTTGTCAGAAAATGTTAGGAATGTTATGCCCCCTCTTTTGCAAAACCCTGGATTTGCCCCTGAATGTCGGTAGTTTTACAAGGAACATGCTGTAGCCTCTCCCCTCACGATGGAGATGTGCGTTGCATCTCTCAGATTTATTTTTGGTTTAGCGCCCTCATTCATTTGATTTAACAGCGCTCTCGGAGAGCGAAGCTTTGTATGCCCTTCTTTCTCTCCATACATACTCTTCGCTTAGTAGCCTCCTTGCGTATTTAGAGATAACATCCATAATGTGATGATTATAGACAGGGAATAATAGTTGATGAATAGTAATACAATTGATATAACCCATGCAATGTTTTTTGATGTTTCATCCATGTATCATGAAAAATAACAAAAATTCCGGTCCTGTTTTCAACCCTGTCACTGTGAACACGATCACAAAGAATTTATAAATTATAAAAAAACAAGTTCATGGTTAACTTAGGATCCCTATTGAAATTGAATATCCCATATAAATCAAAAATATCGGATAACGTCATACGTCATTGTGATGCTCACATATTTCTAAAGGTGATAAATAATGCCTGATGTCGATTTTTTAAAGTCCGGTTTGCGAACGTGTTTATGGTATACTTCCAGTAATTTACTCTGATTGGCTCTTATTTAATGATAACCACGATAATGTTCCCACATTTTTAAAGAAAGTCAAGTTCGTTTTGCTTCTGAATAAATAAATAATTGAGTAAGAATAGAAAATGAGATAGACATATCCCTGTTACATAATAACCCTTACTTATTTGGTAATTACAGCCAATAGTTTAGGCCTTCTTTCCCCAGTGTAATATTCAAAATTGTATTGTATTTTCCTCAATACTCTATACTGTAACAGTAGCTTTGAATGGTTACTGCAAAACGATACTTACAGCCAGATTTCACTCGAATTGTACGTAAACAAACATCCTCATCCTATTTTAATTTTGGTCTCAAGGGATACGTTAAAAAGTAATCCTCAAACAAACGAAATGCAAAAATAGAACAACAAAACGATCAACAATCTTCGCCCTGACAAAACATCTAAAATGGGTCTTTTCGATGACATGAAAACAAATCTATTCTTAGGCCGCCACCGACAAAACTGTAGTACCCGTATATTTAATTCATTAAAACGGAAATGTAGCTTATCCCACTTGAATCCGATTATCTCCGAATAGCTCCGATTAGTTCCGATTAACTTGTAGATTAGTTCTTTGAGCTTCCCGATTTGACCTCGTATCTCAAAACAATCCCTTTTAACGGTTTTGCAGATGTGTAATTGGTGCTATTTCAAACTAAGAAATCACTGATGGCTGAGAAACGGAATTGAATTCACTGAAAATCATACGATGGGTGGGGTCTTGAATTACTGCTATTGACTGAATTAAATGTTGCTTTTGATCTTTTGTAAACATAATATTTTTGGGATGAAAATGAAAGACAATAGAACAAATAAATTACATAGGCCCATTATAAAGGAAAGGTACATTCTCTTTCGAATTGATTAATGACAACATACTTGTTAGTGTAAAAAAAAGAAATCTATGCATCAGTTAATCCAATGACATAAATTTAATGTATAAGTGCATAATCGCCATTGATTTTGAATAAAAAACGATCAATGCCACTATAGTTGAATATGATTGCAGGATAAATGGAATATTATCAACATGAACATAACAAAGACATAAAGAGACTTCATGAAGTTTGATTCACTATGTGTAATTGTCTGTGTATGATGCTGATCAGAATGACTCATGAAAATTGAAGGATATGCGTTAAACTATACATACGTAGGTCCTAACGATGTAATGGGTGCGACTGTAAACCCGTGCTTACTATTAAACTACTAAGGTCATACTTGGGGATTTATTTTTATATGAGTCAATTTAATTACAAATGAAATGGATATCTGCTTGAAATTATTCGTCATCGAAGTCTTCGTGAAACAAAGCGTCGTGTAATATTGTATAATTGAGATTTTTATTCGTTTAATATGTTCAATTCAACAGGGATACATGTATTCAAATAAATAATAAATAAATAAATATCGGTCATAAGTACTTTTGTACTTGTCCGAAAAAAAGGATTTTGATTGGCTGCTACGATGAACAAAAGAGATAAAAGAAATGGGCGGTCGCTATGAGTATCCTGAGTATCCTATTGGTTGAAGCTTTATGTGGGCGTGTCGGTACAGTGGAGTACTACGAGTGCAGTGAGTCACTTGCGTTTTTATGCGACGTATACCGTACATACCATGCAGTGCAGCAATGCACCACCACTTACATAGATATTGTGTCATTCAGTGGCGAGGGCATGCTCAGGCTGTAGTACCACAGGCGTTAGATCTTGGTTTAGAGACGAATTCTGAATTTGCTCTCTAAAAAGATCACCCTTGTTGGTTTATTGTCCTTTTACACATTGATGCCAGTCGCCACTGAGGATTTTACCTATTTGTTATTATTTTGTTAAACACAAACTTCAGTTTTGGAACCAATTCGTCCTCGTTTGCAACTCTTCTTACACTGTATGCAGCACCCATCATCCTGTGTGTTTGGTTTGACCTGGGTTTTAGGGTTTGGACCTAGGGAGCTGGACGCTGGAGCTTCCCCAAAATCCAGGGATCAAAATCTTTGTTTGTGGAGCTCATAGTCATACTTCAACCAAAATCAGGAATACTTTCCTTCCAAATCTTCAGCGAGATCAGAGTCTTTGAAAGTTCCATCGTGGATTATGTGGCACTTTCTGGCTTGATGACTCGCCGCATGTAAATCGAGGATAGGCCTACTTTTCTTGTTTGACATGGTTGGATTCGTCAGGCAATTTTAACCCTCTTCTTGGAATTAGGATGCCCTAGATCAAGGATATACATACACTGGATTTATCACAGCCTACCCTAAGGAATTATTTGTTGACCAGAGCCTTTACAGACTTCCAGCAAAATGGAAACGTGTTCAGATATATATGGTGCTAAACGTCAACGGCAGTGGACCTGTCGTTTACGCCAGCCATGCGGGGGTGGTTTCCTCCCGGTGCCCGTGTGGAGTGTGCTCACAGTTGCTGTTTTGATACTCTCTTCATGTCATATGGGAAGGACTGAAAAGGATCCTCTTTCATTATTTCAGGCACGTGTTAATTCAAACAAACGTTTGTTAACCTAAAGAAACATAGGTTTATTCTGGCATTGTATATGTGCATGTTCCGGAAATGATGATCACTGTTATTTGCCCTTAATTCTGCATTCCATATTTGCTTTTGTCTTTTTTCCTCACAGTTTTCATTGTTGAAATCCCTTGAACCAATTTTGTCCTTTTTTGGCGAATGCTTCTGGCATACTTTAGGTGTTTGTTTGATCCATGTAACACTGAATGTAGGAAATGAAAATGCAAAATATGTTGAATAATGAATGCCTTAACATTGGTAAATAAAGTGAGGAACAAAAGCAAGTGGTAGTCATTGCAAAGAGGTTATGTAAACTTTTAAATCAACAAGAATTATTGTTAGTCTATATTTGCGTAATACAAAATCAGTGATAAAATATGAATTGTCTATCATGCTTCTAAAAGTTGACTGTATTAATGGAAATACACTTCATTGAAGAACTATGGACCTGTAGTATTACATCTGTAATTATCTAGACCAGATAAGAAGGGATATTTAACTGGGTTGAAAAGAGACATATTTTCACCCACTCCTGTTCTTTTGAGAAAAAAAGTTACTTGCCCAGATCAGTGCAGTCATTGAAGCAAAACACACCTTTTAGTCTTACTTCAGAATCTTCATAACACAGGGCATTCAACTCAGATTAGTATAGTATAGGGCAGGGGCTTTCTTGAGTGGGCTTGTATTCAAGAAAGTCAACACAATGCTATACATTATGTAGATCTGCTTTGGAAAGACGTATGGTGGGTGGGCAGGATTCATAACTAGTAGTACTGTCGTACTACTAGTATTGTATTGTAAAAATAAGTAATTTAAATACTAAGTTTTTTTTTTGTAAGTATAGGGAACAAATGAAATAATAAGGACTGAATTTCTTTTATGCATTTGCTGAACCTCATTGTAGTTGTATGTCTTACCAATGAACGAGTTGTATGCATGGCTTGTGTACTTATGAAAGCATTGCAGCCACTGGTTTTGTTTGGGAGGAGATCATGAAGCACTCTAAATCCAGGCCTGGCATTTTTTTCTCTCCACAAGACAATATAGCAAACACAACTGGATTACTCAACGGTTTGATTTCTTATGCAGAAGCCAATCAGCATAGCCCGTCAGTACGTAACTGGGACAATGATACCAATTGATCCTCATTATTTGTCTATTTGTCTTTTAGGATCTATCTCGAGGGGCTTCCCAGGACCTACAATTTGAAGGTAAGCCTATCTTTCTTTTCTTGTTATACTTTTCTATACCTTTCTCCTTCTCTGTTTTGCTTGGTCAAGCAGTATATAAGTTATAACCCTAGGACATAACGGTATTACATGGTTGGGTGAGAGCCAGAACCCAGAAGGCATTGACTCTGTGTTACGAGTTAGTACCCATTTAACTCCAAGCCGTGACAAGAAAATGAGAGGCAAATATTTAAATTGGTTGGTGATATACCACAGAAAGTTTGCCGAAAAAGATGGGCTGCCTCATGGGAGACTTTGTTTGTTGGTGAATTATGCATGGTGGGAGGGAAGCAGAAAGAGGGGATAGAGAAGAGAGAAAGAAAGAAAGAGAGAGAGAGAGAGAGAGAGAGAGAGAGAGAGGGGGGGGGGGGGGAGAGAGAGAAAGATAGTGAGAGAGAGAGAGAGAGAGAGGAGAGGAGAGGGTGTATGGGGAGGGGAGGGGGAGAGAAAAAACAGGGAGGAAGGGTAAAGTTCTCTTTAAGAGGACATTGGGATTTAGATCAGTTTATTGTTACTGAGAAAGAAGACATGATTTATAAGGGGGAACTCAATAGATAATTGGAAGCCGATGCAGAGCCATTTAAGTAATTACTCATTATTGTCTAGATAATGACGGTAGCTGGTCTCTTTATGTTTTGGAATGTGAAGGCTAATACGTCACTGAAGAACACTAATGATGTCAGTCTAATGTATAGACCAACAAAAAACACCATCTTTTGAGAATCAGATGGGCCTTAGCTTTGTATAAAAGTATATGATTTAACACCCTTCTTAATCTCAACAGAAACATGTTTCGTTTTATGTTTGTATTATAATGCAATAATATCAAATTGATGTTTTATAATGGTCTGGTATGGAATATGATAAAGGGTAACTTGAAGAGTTCACTGTTCGTACCAAAGGATCAGAGAGTCCCCAGTTACTTAAAATACATGTTGCCAATACAAATCACTTTCAAAACGAAATTGCCAGATTCACAGGACACAGTAATATATATGCTAAGGTCAACATATATTTTTTTATAACAAGAGATGTGGGTATAATGGTGAACAGTTGAGGCATCATTAATTCGTGGGCAAGGGCAATTTGATTTGCTTGGTGGCTGGTGCTAACAATGCGTGCCTCAAGAAAATTGTGAAAATCTGATTTCGTGGTGGTATCAAAGAAAATCTAGACCACATCATTATGAATGTCTTTATTGTCCCTCGCTTGTAGAATATATTATCTTTTTTTGTTTTAAAGGTGATATACTCTTCATCATCACAGAGTTTATCTGGAGTTAATGGTGTAAAATAGTGTAGCATAGTGGAGAACAGAAGCATTTGTGTGGTACGATCAAGGAGATATCACAGCCTTGGTATCTCTTCAAGCGCGTAGCCAGGATTTCATTTTAGGGGGGGCGGTAGTGAGCACGCGAAGCGTGCGAATCACTTAAAGAGCGCGCGAAGCGCGCTCCCTAGGGGGGTGGGTGCAGGGAGGGGGGAGTTTCCCCCCTCCCGCGCGAAGCGCGGAAGCTTTGAAAGAAGACGATTCGTTGTACCTTTCTCGACTCATAATCCTTGTCTGAATTCAGTCCCTCCCCTCTCTCACGCGAAGCTTTGACGTTTCATTAAATTATTAGAGAAAGAAGACGATTCGTTGTACCTCTCTCGACTCTTAATCCTTATCTGTATTCAGTCCCTCCCCTCTCTCACGCGAAGCTTTGACGTTTCATTACATTATTAGAGAAAGAAGACGATTCGTTGTACCTCTCTCCACTCTTAATCCTTATCTGTATTCAGTCCCTCCCCTCTCTCACGCGAAGCTTTGACGTTTCATTAAATCATTAGAGAAAGAAGACGATTCTTTGTACCTTTCTCGACTCTTAATCCTTGTCTGAATTCTGTTCCCCCCCCCTCTCGCGCGAAGCTTTGACGTTTCATTAAATTATTAGAGAAAGAAGACGATTCGTTGTACCTTTCCCGACTCATATTTCTTAATTTGAACTCAGTTTCCCCCCTTCCCGCGCGAAGTGCGGAAGCTTTGACGATTCATTGTACCGTTCTCGACTCCTTTTCCCTTCTTCTTCCTACGTCCTCTTTCTTTTTTTTCTTCTCTTTCTCTCTCTTTTTTTTTTTTGGCCGGCGTTTTTGGGGGGGCGACCGCCCCCACCGCCCCCCCCTGGCTACGCGCCTGTAATAATCTCTTTGGTATGAAGGCAGATAGAGAAAGGAAGAAGAGGGAAAGAGTAAATCATGAGGGGGAGTGGGGGGGGGGGTCGCTTTTAAGAGTCTTTGTAGGGTAAACTTTTGTCATTTATTTGTGTGTGCATTCAATCTCCCCACCGCCAATGTTTGGCGTCTCTATTTGTAACATTTGTCAGGGCTTGTTTGTCTTGCTTTTATCAACGCGGAACATGAAAGGGAGAGAACTGGGATGATTTATATCTTAAGCTTGCGTAAACTTTGTGTAGGTTGGGTCCAGCTATTGTGGAATAACCGTCGGTCGGTAGAGTTTGACTTTTTTAAAACTCATGAGCTATCTCCATCTGTCCTTTTTTAAAATGCCCCTTGTTCAATTCTTGCACTATAGGCCCTGGCGCCAAATATGAAACTCTCATCCTTTCTAGGATTGTTATTTTATTTGCCCCTTGTCTGTACTCTGTAGTACTTAACAACAATAAAAACGCATGTAATATCAATCTTAAATTCAACTTCATGATGATATTAAATATGCTGTAGGCATATTTTCAATCATTATAGATAACTACATTACCCCTGTTTTTTGTTTCCCTCTTTCAATTCCCTTTCCCAGTTCTTTCTTTAGTTAATAAATCATGTTTAAAATGCCTTTCTCATGCATGTACCGGTATGCTATGTAAATGTCAGCCATGCAACATAAATCTCATCTCTTAGACATTTCATACTCTACAAATCTTCCTGATAAAATCCTTCCCCATTTCCCTCTCTCTTGTCTTCAATTTACATCAAGTAAAGTATCTTGTGTCTTGTATTTTCCTCTCATATCCTCTCTTTCTTCTGGTTAAACATTTACACCATCTACCTCTCATGTTTCTTGTTCAATTTTGTTTGTTCCATATCGCTTTCACCTCGTGTTTTTGTCCTCTCGCCCTCCCCGTGCCCTAGCAGTCATTGAACTATTGTCTAGTGAAAGTCTAGTGAAAAATGAGAGTGAGAGTACAGGCAAAATGTTATTTTCTCAATGCAAGGAACTGTGCGTCCATGAGGTAGACCCGTTGCCATGTAAACAAAAAAATATACATGTGTAGGCCATTGGACATGCTAGTCTGGATTCCAACCTCACATTTCATGTAGATATTCTAAACCATTTCACCATAAAAGTACAAAGGAAACAGCGAGCTCGACAGTACAATCAGTTTCAACGTGGGTCTATAACCTGTACAGGAAAATACCTATCTCCTCAGGAAAGACAAATTTCATCAGGAGAAATTGCTACCTTGAAATCTTTTTAAAGTTGGAAAGAATTCTTAGCACTGGAAAAATTGTGTTGATTGATTGCCATGCACTCTTAACCTCTCAATGATTTGTCAATGCTTCGATCGATCTCCTTTATCCATTCACTGAGTTCAGTGATTTTAGTGTTAAGAGGTTGATAAATAGCTCTACCCCAAATTTTGATTTACATGTAGTATCTAAACGCAGGCTCATTCTATCATAATAACAATATTTAGCTACATTTATATTGCATATTGTGCACATAGTTATCCCAGGGGATGCTCAAGGCACCCGCTAAGTACAATGTAGTTTAACTATAAGTTGATACTTCATGGTTGATGACGATTCCTATGTTGAACACTAAGCTTACATAAGAAAGAAAAATTTGTCAACAAATTTGTGTGCTAAGTGAAAAACATTGTAGTGTTTAATCTTTGTAAATGTATCAATCTTGAATTTTTTTGTTGTTGCAACATATACTTTATAATGAAGTAGTGCATTTCCTTTTTTTCTGTAATGGACTACTGCTACTGCAGTTGTCTCTGTTTGGAGCCAGAGGGGCATTAACATGTGCTGTACATAACTCATCATTTTACACATACACAGAGTTAACACCCTTCTGGCTACAGACAGACAATAATTATATCAATGTTGCCTGTATCCACTGAACAGGATTTGATGGGGATGGGGGTGTGGCTCTTGTGTATTTAAGAAGAGAACATCAGTTTGATGTATCAGTTTGATGTTTGAAGAAGACTCCACTGATGATCCCGGGCTTTATTTCCAACCTCAAAGTCTTGCTTGCTTGTTTCAAGATCTTCATCCCTCCTGATAGATTCTTGACATCCGATACGAGATGACGAGATCACATCCTGACACAGGTTCTTGAGAAGTTGAGAAGTTGAGAAAGGAGTGGGAGGGATGTTAAGAATGATCGGGTTTAAATCATGATGGAGACATCTCATGTAGCAAGTTCAGATAGAAGTTTTCAGAAAGAAAGTTAAGCTTGTTTAAATTCTCACAAACTGCTCTTTCCTCTCTACAGCCCACTCCTATAATGTTAGTGGATTCCTCCTCTCTACCCAAAGTTTAAAGAAAATATGTGGCTTGCATCCATTTAAAAAGTATGACAATGTCTTACGGAAGATCCTGTGAGAGGCCTTGCAGATGGGTTGTGCTCTCAAGATTTGGGAAGTTGCTCTGTGAATGGGACATCATGAAAGTATATATATTACTCTCTAATCCAGACTCATTAACAGCAAACTATTTTACCATCATACAGTGGTTACACCTAAAAAGGTGAAATATAAATTCTACTCTGCAGAGAGATGACTTGTCTTGCCACCTTCAAGTTCAACAGATCAGTTAAACCACATTTTCCCGCAGTTTATAATCTCTTTACAGGTATCTACTTAGTTTTTGAGTAATTTATTTTTGAATCTCTTTAAATCTGTAATTTTGTTAGCACTTGTTTTAGCACCCCTGCATATTGGGTATTATCAATATCAACATCTTTTAGAAAAGTAT